AGAGCGACGGGCACGCACTACCGCGGCCGGGTCGCGCGCCCGCCGCCGCCACGCCCGAACACACGCGGGGCACACGCGCGCGCACCACACACACACACGCACGGTGCCCGCACACGCGGCCTGAGCACACGTGCGCACACACCCACGCACGCACGCACAGCCCAGAACCAACTGTCCACCGCCGCGCCACAGGTGGGCCCCCATGGGCCCTGGAACCTCCTCACCTCTGTAGCGACTCCATTTCCTTCCTGGGTGCCATAAGGGAGAGGAAACAGGGACCCTCCCATTAGGTCCTGGCTCCACAACACCCACGGTTTTTTTTTTGGTCAAGCATTAATTACCCTCCCGTGATTACTTTTTTCAACCACTCCCATGTGGTTGAATATGGTGTTGATGTACTTGGCGGGCACTGTCATGGCCAGGGCCCTTCTCTGAATCTTCAAGACTGGAGGACTCTGAGCAGCTGAGGGGGTTCCCACCCCCCACTGTTCTGTCCTCTTTGCTGATCCCAGCATGCCCTGGAGAGGCTGGGTGACAGCTGGATAAGGCTTTCCCAGGCCTGCCCTTGCCATTCCCAGCTTCATCCAGCACCTCCTCCTTCTTTCCCACAACTCCTTGGGTATGTATTTTAGGGGGGGAGGTATGGCACAGAAGTCGGTGCCCTTCTTCTCACTTTAATCGCAGCATCCTTGAACAAATACATGACTCTCAGGACCCCACAGTTGTGTGGTGCTTTGCAGTTTACAAAGCACTTTCCTACTAAGCCTGAGTAAGCCTCAGGCAGCTCTGGAGGAAGAAACCTAAACCTATGGACATGGGGGGCAGTCTAGGCAAGGGCACTCCAGGAGGGCTTGCTGGCAGAGGTGGCCTTGGGGCTGGCCATGTCCCAGGCATGTGTGGACTGAGCTCAGGTGGAGTCCTCAGCAGCTGGGAAAGAGGGTTGGGAGGTCTGAGGCAGGGCCCGGTAGGGGATTGGCGTAGGCCTGCGAGGTCCCATCTCCATCAGCTGAGCTTGCTTCTGGGGAGGGTGACTCCCACTGTCATGTGATGCCT